TGGATGTGGCGGAGGGGTTTTTACGGGCTAAGTTTTGAGGGTTTATTGATTCTGAGGGATGTGCGGGAGAGTAGGAAGGAGAAGTGATTCGCTGGACGGGCCGGTGATGGGCGAATAGAGGTGTTTTTGGGGTGGGGTTGGAGGAGCTTGGGGAGTAATGCAATCGTGTAGAGGAGGCTTAACTAGTATTGGCGACATTTGCTTAGAGGAAAGTATCGGGATTTGGAATGGTTCTAGGTATCTAATTGGAGCCATAAACTACTTTGCATATACGTCAGAGGTTAGGTGAGAATTGAAAAACTCAAGTGGAGAAGACTTTGCCCGATACTAAAGCAGGCGAGTACATGTTGAAGTATCGCAATGATCAAGATTGATAACAGATTCCAGCCATTTAATGAAAGTAATGACATCCAATGATGATGTTGTGTATGGTACCTCATTCTTATTGTGTCAACTTGCTTGCAGCTGCTTCGACTTCTTCGGTAGAGTTTTATCAATTTAACCAACCTGTTACATCCCTAGGCCATTCGACAATACGTTTACCATTCTAGGATTTCAAGTGAGGACTACTTCTGGTTGCAGGATATCAAGCTGATATTAGAAATGCAAGGGTAAGGTAAATTCCAGTTAGAAGCAGTTCCCTTTGTCAACCGTGAAACGCTAGGACTCCGGAAGCGAAATCGAAGAGAATGATTCAACGAAATAGGATGAAACACACTGAAAGATTAAGATTGTTCAATTGACTAAAATTTGAGGACTTATCGTTGCCAGCTTACCTCTGTTGATGACTTTATCTGACACATATCGTCCGGATACTTGGACGGCGATGAAACTAAAAGCGGCAGGTTTCGAATGATAGAATGGAATGACTGTGGTATTAGAGAGGATCACTTACTATGTGTCTTCTCTCAGCCAGGATTTGAAGCTAGGCAGCCTCAACACGTGTCTTACCATACTACTCCTCATTCATGCCACTTTGCAAGCAGCCTCAACCGTCAGCGGTCACAGCACACATTCCTCTCTAGCATCGGGAGCCGGCAATTGCGTAAGCTTGACAGCCCCTGAGTCGGGAGACCTGCACCCACGATACACGGCCTTGCCGTAGGGAACCACTGCATCCAACGCTTCGGGACTTCTACCCAGGAGAAATCGCCAGGAGCTCATGCAGGCCGTTGTTCCCACCGTTTCATACGGATTTAATCTCACATTCCAGACGACACCACAGCGGATTGTCCGCTGATAACCTGGTTACTGGGCTTCGACCCTTGCGTGTATCGAGAAATCGGCCAGGGCTCGTGTCACGATATGCAGCCAGGACCCAAGAGCCAGGTTGCAAGGGCGGTTGCACACAGCCAGAGCGGGTACGTCCGAGCCCTTCAGGCGGCGAAATGATGGCACTTGAGACGTCTTCTGACAACAAAGAGAGCGGGAGTGTCTAGCATTGGAATGAGTGATGGTGGGTTGTCTTGCGCGAGAGTGGTCCGATATCTACGCAATCGACGGAGGAGCGATATCGGCGATGCATTCGGAAGAGGGTGCAGGTGCAGCAAGATTTCCCAAAAGCCAGGAATCCTCTGTTTGATGCTTTTCGTGACGTTGGGCTCGACGAGAATGACGGGCTACGGTGCCCGGGTCGACACAAAGACGGCGCTGTGGTCCCGGACTGCGTACGGATGGGCTCCGGTGAACGAGAATGCCAATGCGCAGAATCTGTTCCCGCACGGCACCCCGCCTCCCCAGAAGAAGTGCCTGACAGGACGTCGCATGTCAAGTTGGAGCACGCCGGGCGGGTGCTGGCGATTGGGTGGTCGCCAACGTTACAGTACGAGGACGCGGTGGTGGCAGCGTGTGCGACGGAGAGAATGTGCCAGTATGACACCCAGTCGCAAGGGGAAGGCTCTGGGCTCCAAGCTCCGTTGTTGCACAAGCTGAAGCACTTGTGCTGGCACGACGAGAGATTCGCCCGCAGAGGGCGCTGTGCTCGCAGTGGCCATGCACGCGTCAATAGACTGATCGGTCGTTGCGTGATTATCGAGGGCAGAGGGTGCATATGCAATCCCACGGTACGTACAGCTCCCAGCCAACGGATAGCCACAGGTGATGATACCGGCCCATGCACGCCTTGCCCCTGATGCGGTGACGACGATCCCAGATCCATGGTGTTGAATCCTGGAGTGGGTCCCGCGAGGCTAGTGACCCCCCGTCCGACGCCACAGGTGCTTCTGCTGCCGGAGTCGACGATAGCCGACGGCGCGGGGCTAGTAACAGTGTGAGGCGTGGAAATGAAGGCGCTGCTGGCCGGTCTGAGTGGCTCATGAGGGCCTGATCGCGCGCTGGGCATTGGGACTGGTCGAGGACAGAGGGACCGCTTAGGGCGATCACAACAGCTGAAAACCGCACTTGGTAAGGGGATCCTGAAGTGGACGTGCAGGAAGGGAATAATCAAGCTCAATGAATGGTGATGCACTGTCGCGGGAGGCGATCCAGCAGCCGGCGCAGGAGCATAGCTCCATCCATCGTCAAGGCCCGTCACGCAACTGCGGACCTGGAGTTGGCCTCGTGCTCCACTTCTTTGGACGCTTGCCGGCGTGCACAAACGTGGTGGTGAGAGCGCGTCGCGGAGCCGAGGGACGGCGAGGAGAGAGGGCCAGGTGAGGTTGGAGGCGGCAAACCAGAGGGCGACGGCGGCTCTTATGATTTGCGGCGTGCAGCATCGCCGTGCCACTGGCCGCCCAGGTGTGTTGGTGGAGCGCGCGGGGGTTTGCGCGGGTGGCATGAGGCGAAGAGGCGTGAGGCGGATGTGCCTGCATAAGGGCAGTCTAATCGGGTGTGTGTTGGCGGGCGCTACGACGGAAGAAGAACGTTCCACTGGCGAATCCGTATTGCAAAGGAAGACGATCCGGGCCCATGACTCCAGTTGCAGAGGGTGCTGCTGTGTCCAGGCGCGAGAGAGGAGGCTCGTCCGAAGAAGCGTCAGCGAAGCAGCAGAAGCCGCAGAAGCCGCAGAAGCAGCCCAAGAAGCCGCCATGCCCAGGTCCATCACTCACGCTGCCCGATTAGCGGCCCCGGCGCGCAGGCTGCATGAAGAGGCACTGTACGTCCCTGGGCGGTCCCTGGCCTGCGATCGTAGCGTGGCGATGCTGCAGCCCAAAACGCCCAGCGCATACAATACAATAGTCATCGTCTCCGGCAGGCGATCGACACAGCCGCACCGGCCTCGTCGCCCGCCGTCATTACGGAAGGACCCGGCGTGCGACGGCGGCATCAGCTGCTAAGAATAACGACGGCCATCGCAGTGCTGATGCGCAAGGGACGGCGGGGTGAAGAGGCGGCGGGCGTCCGACGCGTCTGCAGCGGCGATGCAGGCGGCGATGACGGGCAGCTCCCCCGACCGCTGGAGCCAAACGGTGACGGCTAGCCGGGATGCCGTGGAGAGCACGTCGTCCAGGCTGGCAGAGTCGGGAGGCAGCCGGGAGGGCGGCGGAGAGCAGAGCGGAACAGCAAACCTGCGCGGCGGGGCGCCCCCAAAGCCCTCGGCCCGCCCCAGCACGTTGTATCCCGCGCCGTGGTTGGTTCGCCGCCGCAGCGTGCTCAGCGTGGCCAGGGCGGCGACTCGTGATGCCGTGCGCGTGTGGTGGTGGGCGTGCAGCAGCCGTGGAGGTGAGCACTACGCTGCTTCGTCGGCTGGTGCGCGGCCACGGTGGTACTCTGCAGTCTGGTGTCTGGCGTCGTCCGTCGTCTCCAGATCGCGCAGGACTCGAATTAAGGTTGCATGCAAGCCACGCCCAGAATAGCTGCCATCAACGCTAGGGCCCGCGCGGCCGCCGCTCACCACATCGCTTCCACCGCCGCCGGGCCCATCCACTTGCAGCCGCACTCGCAACCTCAGCGGGCCTCCCCTTCGGTCAGTGCCATGCTGCCCGAAGCAGCGAAGGCTCCCCAAGCCCCAGACCACCCCAAGATGCTTAGCAGACGTGCACTGGCTCCTAGACTGGCCAGTCAGCACGGGGGACGCCCTCTCCAGCAGCTGAATGGCGCAGCGTCACCTCTGGCACGGCCTTGGAGCACGCCCGCGCAGCAAGCAGTGCTCGCTGATGCTTCCGCTGGGGCTCTATATCACGTCCCCGCCGGCGCCCTCGTTTGGCTGCCTTTTCTGCTCGCACGCTGTCTCTCGGCCCGCCAACTCTCGCTTTCTCGACAACTCTCGCTGCCCTTTGCGTCCCTCGTTTGCAACCTCGCCCTCTGCCTCCGCCGCGCCCTTGGATTGTGACTCAGCGCTGTGGCCGGCCGCTGTGCATTCTTGCTGAAGCCTGATCAACCGCCAGCCCGCCAGCCCGCCAGCCTCGTGTTCCGGTGCTCTGTTGCTGTCTGGGAGCCTCCCGGCTGCCAGGCACCGCTCCCCGCCGCAGACGCCTCTCCCACAAACTGGCAGAGCGAGTTGTCCGCTTCCCCGGTCGCGTCCATTGGGGACTCTGCGGCCCGTGAGCGCTGACGCTGCGCCCTACACTGACCAGCGTCGAGCTCAACCCTCAGCACCACCACAGCCTCTTGCACGCTGCAGGCCCTCCGTCTCAGGCCTCCGTCTGCCGTCTGCCACTGCCCAGTACACCAAAATACCAGGCCGACGGTACCAGCAGCTTCCAGGCCTCTGAGCGCCCTCAAAGTGAGTCCGTCTGCACTTCCTTGCTTGTATGCCGATCGTCGTCATCTAGTTCCGCCAATCTCACGCTCTGCCACAGTTCCGGGAACGCTACCGCTGTAATAACACTTCTCTCCGCACCGGTCTAGTGCTCGCTACAAAGGTATCGCCCCGCAAGATTGCCGCCCAGCCTCACCACCACGCCCTGCCCCCGGCGCTCATGTTTCTGAACTCTTTGTCTCCCAGGTGAGCACGTCCAGGCGTGTCTGCAGCCATGCGCCGTAGACCGCTTTGCATCTATCATTCTCATTCCAGACAGGTTGCTGCTCTGAATCAGTCTTGCTCTACTGGCGAAGTCCCTCCGCTTCCCGAAACCGCGCATTTCCTGGCGACGGGAGCATCCTGTGCGCGAGACAGCCGACTCGCTTCAAAGGAACCTGAGCTCTCAAAGGCCCCTGCAATCTCTCCCGAATGATTCTTTACTGTGAGAACTGCTCTCGTCTGTCTGTCGACGGGGTCTCATCGTCACCTACAAGTGTCACGAGTCCCACTGTGTTCTCCGACCATCTCGAAGTCAGACAGTCATCGTATGCTTGGAGCAGTAGAGTTTGCTCAGCCGTGTGTCTTTGCTCCTACTGCGAGAGACAGTTTCCCACATTTGTGGATCCTTTTCAAGTTCACTTCGCTCCGCGAGACGTTTCGTCCAGGCGGTGCAGTCTGAGCATCACTGCCTCACAACAACCTCAAACCTTCGAAATACCGTCAAGCTGGCCTGCATCGCCAGTGCTCGCTTTCAGGTACGTGTTATTCCCCTCCTACCAGAGGCGACGCCGCACTCAGCCCCATGCGCTCTGCTGCTGCCTGCGTTGCCGCCGCCACCAGATTGCCTGCTAACTCCGTGTCGGAAGCGCAGCCTGATAGGAGTGTGAAGGCGCCCTTCATTGTAGGCGAAGACTGTGACTCGACCGAGTCGTTGCTATTGCAGTGCGGTCAAGACTACGAGAGTGGTCCTCTGACTTTATCTGGGCTGTCTGCCACACTGTCCATGTCTAGTTACGAAAAGTCGCAGGAACCCTATCTCTACGGTACGTATGTATGGTGCAGATGACGACTGTGCGAGGCAGAAGACCCCGTCCGGTCGGATGGCCTCGGGTCAGGCACACGTGAGACTTCGTTTGACTGACACCCTCTTTTAGACGCCGCAGCCACACGACCAAACCAGGACCCAAGCTATGCTAGCTTTGCACAGCCTTTCGCCTCGCAATACACCGACACGCAGGCGAGGGCATCCCATGAGCCCTCGAGCGTAGAGATGCCCTACATTCCCATTTCGGGCTACGAGTCACGCGGCTCAAGCAGCTATGTAGCTGCCTTTCCATTTATTGATGCGTCATCTCGTTCACTGCAACTCCCCGGACCCCCGCCGGAAATAACGTCCTATCATCCTGCCAAAGGCGTTGCCGGAGACAAATTTACCATCAATCTGAGAAGCAGATGGGAGCTCACCAACCAGAACAACATCTACTTCTACACCATCATGTTTGGCACCAAACGGTGCGAGACTAGCCAGATGAAGGTCACGCAGTCAGAGAACTACTACTTCTACTCGACGACCACAGATATTCCATCGCCTCCATTATCAACGAATTCCCTTCTCGACAACCAGGTACGACTGCAGATGAAGATCGAAGATGCTTATGGCCGCGAGTTCGACGTCGTCGAAGTCGGTGATTTCACTTACGTGGACCTGGCTTCGTACGCTTCGTACAATCCCGCGCAAGACGTTCCGCGAAAGCGCAAGTACTCAGGCGAGTCGGAAGACCCTTCTGACTACATGAGACCAGGGCCGAAGCGCATCTCGTCACAACGCCTCTATTCAAAGCCCAGGGAGGGCTCTGGGAGCTACGCCACCGGACACGGCTCGCCGTCACCAGTTACGCCGTATCTCCAGCCCTCGCTCCCGAGCGGGCTGTACTCTAGTGGCTACGAGAGAGTGCAACCGCAGCAGCCTCAATCTTACATCCATCCAGGAGGAATGAATTACCCGCAGACCATCAAGGCGCAGTCGCCAAATATGCCAGCGTACAGCCCCTACTCTACTGTCAGTCAGCCGCGTCGTAGTCCGGCATCTATCGCGGCAACTCCAACCAGAACACCAGCAATGCCATCTCCTGCCAGCCTCGCGAATCCACAACTGATTCGGACGTCTACCATTCAGGCTCCCAGCAATAGAGGCACTCCGGGGCCTCCGCATGCTCAAGCCTTCAACCCTTACTTGATGTACCCGAACTCGAAAGCTATCCTAAAAATCGACGGGGACCTGGAGAAAATGGGTGACCTTGAGAAATGGAGCCTAGACGAGCGAGACGCCAAACGACGACTGGTTCAGTTTCGAAGAAGCCAGTCAGGGAGCACGATAACGACAACCTTCGATCCGGTATCACCAGAACAGCGCTCGCCCAACAGCATCTGCGTTAGCTGCATTTGGTGGGAGGAGAAGAATGAGTGCTACATCACTAGCGTGGACACCATCTTCCTTCTCGAATCGCTGGTGGGCGTCAGGTTCACGGTGGAGGAGAAGAATCGCATTCGACGCAACTTGGAAGGGTTCCGGCCGGCGACAGTGTCCAAGACCAAGGTGGATAGTGAGGAGTTCTTCAAAGTCATTATGGGCTTCCCCAACCCCAAACCGCGTAACATTGAGAAGGACGTCAAGGTTTTCCCGTGGAAGATCCTCGCGCATGCGCTCAAGAAGATTATCAGCAAATATGTAAGTGCACTCGACTGCTGGGTTGCATGCAACTAACACGTCACAGTCAGCTAGCTACTCGTCGACAGCGGGGGCGCTCGAGTCCAACGACCCCCATCGCAACACGTCTCCACGCTCAGTCGCCAGCTCGTCGGGCTCGCTGGCGTACGCGACGGCGGGCCTGCCACTGGCGAAGCTCCAGTCTCCCAAGAGCAAAGCGTCAGCAGGCCTGGGCATGTCAGGTGGCCTGCCGACGGAGCTACCAGTGTCGGTTCCCCAGTTGGCGCCGAGCCTCCAAGGCCTGAGCCCATGGCCGGCAAGTGCACATCTACCGGTAGCGCATGCAGCGTCAAACTTCCCATACTCGACGGGCCGCAGCGCGTGGGAGTACGGCGGGTATCTGGACAGCCCTGCTTCGGCACCGCTGCCGTCGACACAGTCGCTGCAACGACCAGGCTCTGCATCCGACGCGACCCATGCACCGGGCAGCGAGGCCTATCAGCGGTATGGTCAGCGGACTTCGCACGCATGAGCAGTACTGAGCGCGAGGGTGTTCTGAGGGTGTTGGGCGTGGGGCCGACAGGGTGAAAAGGGTGTGCTGCACGTCCCGGCTGATCGCCCTGCTGATCATGCGGCCAACGACGCCAGCCCGCATCCTCTCTAGCGGCATCCCGAATTCCATTACCCTCTCTCTCGTTTTCGCCTTGCCAGGCGCACCCGATGACTGGACGCGTGCCTCCTACACAGAGCGGACACTTGCAAACATCTTCGCGGCATCGGCTGCCTGCAGCGCTGTGCCACCGACATCCTTCCTCCACATCTTGTATGGCGTCAAGGCGCATGGCATCTTAGCTTCTCACAGCACTCCGGCTCCTGGCGCGCATCGGCACAACACCGCTGCGGTAAGGCGTTCATTGGCCCTCGTCGTTCCTCTCTTCCTCTTTCTCACGTCTACTGTGTACTCTTTCTCGTTTTCGTCTCGCACTACATCATCGTATCACGGCGTCAGGACAGCACTTGGCAACGCGGCACACGCGGATGCCTAGAAGAAGCAGGCCACCGAGGCAGCACCGGGATTAGGTATACGATTTCTCAGCATTACGCGGCGCTTCCTTCTTTCGTACTCATCTTGCCACATCACGTCCCTCCTCTATTGAGGGTGTGCGTACCCTAATAGTTCGCTCATGGTTCCTTGTTGACCTTATCTCATTACGGCTGGTTCTTTTGAAGCGTTTTTTCGTTAAATCATTGCATTGGGCAGGGATATCAGGGTTGCATCCGGCGAGGTGTTTGGCTGGGCAAGGCGGCAGGATATAGGCGGCAAAGGCAAGAGGCTTGACATGACTGCTGTCCTTTCCTATATTATCTGTAGACGTTACCAACGATTGTATCACTTTGTACCAAGTACACATGAATGGTAGGCTGCAAGGCCTCGGGCTCTTTGCCTCGTTTTCATCAGATTTCTTTGATGCCTTCTTTTTGAACCAGTCAATGTTCTGCTTCATTTTTATGATGTTTATTACGAGCCATGGACTAGGTTGGACTACTTGGATTATCCCTCATGTGCCTCCCACCATTTTCCATTCTTTAAAGTACGCGTAAACCCTCATTTAGGCACCTCTTGGCTCCGTAACAACTTCCCAGACTTCGGCTTAGTCACCCGCTGCGCGCTTTGATGCTTTTACAAGAGCCGAAAACCGCGAAATTCCCTTCCTATTAAACATCACGCTGACATTTCCAGTGCGTTCTTTTCGTAGGTCCGACTTTGACGTCCACTACCGTCGCTATCTTTACCCCAAAATTTACTTAACCCATTTTTCACAGCTCCGTTAGGCCAGGGTCATCTCGCAACCGCTCCGCACGACCTCAGCAACTCCGCCTTTCGACATTGAGGCCAACCATTGTCACAACTTTTTCCCACTAAGATAGTCAAACCTTGCTACTTCTCCACCCAACGGGCTTCGGGGAGTAGGGTTTAGCTAGTTCTATTCATCGATCCTTCACTAGATGTCATCATTAAGTGCTATAACTAAATTTAATACTGTTAGCTGACCCTTAGCACGCACGAATGAGCTCAGCATCCTATTTTGGAAGAGCCCTCGATGCGCGTCGCAAACGCTGCATTAACGAGGCCTCCGCCAAAAGACCGGATGTGTGAGATTGCTTCGTCTGGACAATGATGGGGTGGGGTCTGAAGAGAGGAGTTCGGTGCTCCACGCCTCCAAGGCTTGGCGTGATCTGGGCGGAGAGCGGTAAGGAAGGTGGAATGGTTGACCGACCTTTTCTCCTACGGACGCAAAGAGTTAAGTTAAGGCTCCAAAGCAAATTGGTCATACACTAAAACAACCTAGCAGCGCCCCCTCTTTTTTTTCAACACGATAGCCCATCCGCCAAAGGCATCGCCAAGTCTCGACCGTCCCATGCGAAGAACAACACAGACGTTTCCATTTTTAGACAGCTCCCTTGAAACCTGACTCCAGAACCACCCCCCCCCCGGTACCTTCCACGCGGCACGCCACTCCGCACCGACCCGCTCCGCTCCGCTCGGCTCCGCTCGCATAAGCTTGCTAAGCCTCTCCCGCTTCATCCTCCGCTAAGACCTTAAAGCGCGCATGTATGGCCACTCATTCGCGTCTATTGTAGCCCGCCACACGCTACCTCATGAAACGTCCCAAAAACAGCGGGGAGTGGGTACGTATCAGGAGAGACGACGTCTTGTGCTCGGTCATCAGTTCGTATTCGATCTTGTCCAAGCGTCTGACTTCCATCTGACATGCTCTGCTCAACGATTGGATGAGATTGTCTGACGTCATGTCATCCTAAGAAATAGAATTGGGGGGAGGGGGGGGGTCAGAATGGGCATGCCGTTGTGGCGTGCCGTTGTTGGTAGAATGCGATGTGATGATGCGTCGAGCATGTCGTCTCTGGGCTCAGTGTGCGAAACCCAGCGTTTTGCTTATAGCACCTGCCACTTTCGCATGTTCAACGCACTCATTTACTTCCTTCCAGAGTTGGGTAATGCTGCAGTTTCTAATGGAGACGATCTTAGCCTACGTGCACGCTGTGAGATCTGGACTAGAGCCGCAAGTATCGTCGAGCGTGACTGATGAAGTTTGAGATGACGACAGACTCTGCATCTCCTAGGTTGTAAGATGCGTGTATACAGTTGCAGACGGCTGCCGAGGCGGGATCAAGATATGAAAAGCGTTACGAATGCTGTACAGAAGGTGGACATTGGTCCCGTGACCGCACGTGATATGCTTACTCATCCCACGTGATTTCAATCATGTACTCCATTGTCCTCGTAAACCTCTCTTACACTCCCAAACTCGCTATACGCTCACAAGTCACCTCAAGTTTATCATTACAAGTCCTGTCATAGCTTCAATTGTTCCAATTCGAGCAGGAGCACGCTTAGGTTCAGGCAACCGCTGGTCTATCCTCTACATGACAACGCAGTCGAGATAGCAGCCACAGCCACATGGATCGCATCAGTCGAGTTTCCCAAAGTGACACTCGTCTACCATCGCTTCCACCTGTATATCTCGTCACACAGATGCCCACGCTCATCTACTTCATCACACTCTCGTGCAGCAGAGTTCGTCCGTATGGTACATACACGCAAGAAAAGGACCAGACGGACTACTGCTCGCTAAACACCCTGATATAATAGCTTACAACTTCGCCTTCGGGGCCTCGAGCGTCGGCAGCATGAGGTCTCTGATGTCGCCGGCAGCTTCGTTAAGGTAGAAGGACATGCGCTCCTGGGTTACAAATTAGCACACAAGATTCAGTGAACCAGGAGGGAATATAAAAGTGAAACTTACAGATCCAAGGCCCTTGCTCACGACGTTGAACTGGAGGCTGTTCTCGTTGATCATGTAGGCGATTCTGCACATTCACGTTAGCACTGTCTCACCGAAACGAACACACGAAAACGAGGCGAAGGAAGGCACTCACCCCCATCCGTCGTCGATAACCTGACTCCATCCATAGCCATTGAAGTACTCCGAGCTCAGCTGACTCGAGCTGATGTACCACGAGCTCGAATAGCTGTACGCAGGGTCCTTGTACAGCCCGGGAACGTCCTCGCCCTCTTTCAGGCACTTCTTCAGCCCAAACAGATGCCTGTCGACACCACGTCCGTCACTCGCGTCGCTGATGTACTTGACGTGGGCATTGAGAGCGTCACGGAACAGCTTCTGCGCCTGCTCGGGCGCAACCGAGTGGTCGGCCATGGCGTTGCAGAAGGCAACGGACTCGTCTGACACAGTGCGGCACGTCTCGGTGCGGCCTTGCTGGAAGCGGCGCGTGGCCGCAGACTCGTACGTGGGGCGGTTCTTGCCGTAAAACTTGTGGTACGCAAGCTGGATGATCATCTGGACATACGCGTCTGGGCTGCACTTGAATTTCTTAATGAGCCCTTTGCCGTAGCCTTGGTAGGCCTGGACACGGAGCTCGTGCGCGCCGATTTGGCGCGCAAAGTGGTGCTGAGCAGCCTCAACGTCGGTCTTGAGTTCAGCGGAGAGTTCGAAGCGAATCGGGGTGGGGGTGGGAAGGCTGGAACGGACGTTCGGGTCGTCGAAGTCGAGGGCGTTTGTGAAGATGAGCTGGTTTGCGTAGTCATTAAGGCGGTGCGTGGGGGTTCCATCCATCATGGAATGCTCTCCCATGAAGCCAGATGTACCGTTGTCATTTATGATGAATTGAAGGGGCTTGTCGAACCATCGGTTAGACCCATCGCCGTGCCAGTATTGGTGTGCACGCTCCTCTAGGGTGACCGGAGACGCGTCGTCTAGGCAAACAACAAACGAGGCGGATTCGATGGCTTGCAAGGCTGACTTGTTGACGTCCAAGGCGCTAAGACGTTGGTATACCTAAAATATCGTTAGAATCACATGCTACCTGGAAACCCAGCCCCACGACGCCGGTAAAGAGATAACTTACGTCGGTCCAGACGTCTCGATTTTGAGATGTTAAGATACCGATGGGGGCACTCTTCTCTGCCTTCTCGTATATCCGCTGAAACTGCAACTCCAGCTCGCTTGTGTTCAGTTGCTGGCCATTGATTTCATGTGGAAGTTTCCAGAACTGGTTCTTCCGAATGACCAATATGTGCGCGTTGCCCTCAGCAGGATATTTGACGCTCGTGTCCGAGGGCTTCTTCGGCACACGAGAGCAATTGAACATCCACTCGTACGAGCTCATGGCCATTGGGAGCTTCTTCATATACTCAGGCTCCAAGGAGCCGCTGTCCACCGACTTCTTGAATTCGAGAACGGCCGTCGAGATGGCAGCCGCGCGCTTGGCGGGATTTCTGCGTTTTCGGTCGTCACGATGGGAGTAAAAGTAGCTAACGTAGGGAACCACGGGGTCCCGGTAGGCCATGTACGCCGCATCATTCCACCACTCGTAGATCCAGTTTCTTACGTTTGGATCCTCCCTCCGCGCAATCAAGCGCTTCTGTAGTGTCTCACCGGGACCTCCAGGGGCCACGAAGTCGTTGACGGCTTTTGTGGTGGCATCGAACTCGGGCTTGCTCAGCAGCGGGTGTACGGATTTAAGGTAGCGTTTTGCGGTTTCTTCGAGGGTTGGGACGGGGAGACGGGGTAGAGAGTCTTCAAAGCGAAGCATCGCGCCCTTGGCGTGGTCTTCCTTGTAGCCTGTGATGTCGAGTCTTAGCGGTCGGTCATATATCAGAGTGGAGGGGGCTCGGCGCTTGAATGAGCGGGCGGGGAGTTCTCGTTGCAGACGTACCAGCAGGGAGGGTGGACTGCTGCCGCGCGTTGACTGGAGCCATGGCGATGAACTGCAAATATGAGGGTCAGCGATCAAGAAGTTCTGTAAGCCGCGGTGAAGTGCGGTACCTTGGGGGAGCTTTGGGGCAGTATCCGGTGACGGAAGAGGGACGACGCAGTTGCTCGGCCTCTGGCTACTGCATTGAACATGCTAAATACTTCAAGACGGGCGATGCAGGGAGGGAGTGAGCGACGACCGCGAGAGGGCGCGGGCACGGGAAATATTAGCTCGCGCGACTTGTGGGAGCTGGGCAGTGAAGCACGTTGAACCTCGGCCCTTCGGATCATCGCCAGCTGCCACGGAAGTGTTCATGAGACGCGTGATCACCGACGGGCCACAAGCAGTGCTCCGCCGCTGAGCCGGCCATGTACTTTCTACAGAGCCAATTGTCCATTCTGATATCATGGCCTCTAGAATACGATTATTTGCCCCATTTTCAACGTCTTCGTGACATCGACCCCGAGTCTTGGCACTTGACTCCCCGCCAACGCCGTTATGCACAGACCAGTCTCTGTCGTCAATGTACGTTCTCGTCTCGAAGATTATCTTCTACCTAGGTAGTTTGGTCATGAAGCACCGTTTTTCTGCATGACTTCGTCTCCATGGGCCGAGACTCTTCCACTGCTTGTTTCAGAGGGCAGCACAAAGGATCCTCTATTCGTATTCGTACAGGTGCTTCGGTCAGGACGTCGGCCGAATGATCAACGGCCGATTGCTTGCCGAAGCAGTGAACACTAACATAAGAGCCGCACGCTAGCGACTCGGCTAAGCGGATGGTGCCTTCGCATACTTCAACGTCATGTAGGAAGTGTTGATTTACAAGCCAAAGGGCCCGAAAATCACAGTATATGCAGCTTGATTACTGAAAAACTCAAGTGAAACAACGGAAATAGGTTGCCAATACGCCAAACGCTAACCCAAAGCACCAACGCTCTGTATCAGTATGAAAACCTGCGGCATCGATCACCTTTTTCGAGGTGCCTCTTCGATAAACCACCTTATTACAACGCCCGGTTAGCACGGCGTGTTCATGAACTCCTGAGAAGCGAGCCGGCCAAATTGGGTTCGGACTTATTGGGAAGCGGCGGAACAGAACGATGAAGTGGTGGTAGGATTGGCCATCTGAGATTCTAGAGACTGCAAATTTAATCTTTTGAGTTGGATGCTTACGGAAAGGGCGGCTCAGCGTGAAGGTTTCTGTACTGGGGACTGTTCAGCGAGAGGAAGTTGGTGATACAGTAATGGGGAGACTTGTATATAGCTTACAACATAGATCATCAAGCCCTCGGATATGCACCGCGTGCGCATGATATCAACGAATCTTTACCAGGGCCGCTCAATTAATTCGTTGGCTTTTCTCATTTTCTCCTCATTCTTTAGCCGATCCAAAGCCTCATCGAACGCTTCTTGGTCAACCTGCTGTGCCCTGTTCCAGAATCGCCACTCAAGCTTCAAGCACTCTGGTGCCGACACCCCATCTTCTGCCAAACACTCCCTTAGCCATCCCAACGTCCCTTCTACGATCTCCTCATGACTCTTCGTTCCTTTCTTGGGGAATGGACAGAACGGGAAGTACTGCATCTGATACCCAAAGCCCCATGTTGCTTGTAAAGTACGCAGGTTAGGGAAGAGGGATACGAGGACGTGAGCATCGGCCCGGATGCGCTCCCAAACGCCCGAAGGCGTGTCAGGACGCTTATCGCTAGGAACCAGGCAATCGTACAGATAGTAGACATCGATGGACCGTACGTGGTGCCCGTATCTATTCGTGCACAAGAAATATCTTAAAAGATTATTCAGAGGTGTGGTGTAGAAGAGGTTTCCAAGGCGGAATTTGTTGCTTTTGTAGAGGACCTCACTAGATTCGTCGTGAATAAGCCGAGAAGTGCGTAGTATAGCAGTGTCCAGACGTGTGCGAGAGATGCCAGACTCAGAGGTAGTTGGGGGCTTTTCAGCACGAAGAGAGCTTGGCGAAGTAAGGACGTAAGCGTAAATGTTGTCGCGCAATTCGCGCGGTAAATCGAGGAAGTTCATAGTTGCTGTGACTGAGCTAACAGAAGTTTCCAGACCGGAGGGCTTGATAAAGTAGGCTCTCGGAGTTTTCAAGAAGGAGTGAGTATTGAGATCGACGACTGTGGGCAGTCGGCGAGACTCGATCGAATTACAGTGTTGCTGATGGAATCACGAAATATCGGATGCTCGATTGCCACTACCGAAGCCCGTCTCGATGCCGGTGCTTTGGTATGCCGGGTACCGACGTCTATGGAGAAAGCTGGCGGAGAAGATGGAGGGATCGGAAACCGCAGGAAAATTAATGAAGAAAAGCAGATTGTGCGAGAAGGATAGAGGAGACTCACCTTATTTCTGTCTCAAAAAATGCTGATAAGCAGCCGCTAGGCGCATGGCTGCTGATTGCTGAGGGTCACTGCCTTACGAATTACGAAGTAGTATCGACCACTTGCAAAGATCATAGTGCCTCTGAGTGGCGCGGCGAGGTTATGGTCACTTGATCAATGTGGCACAATGAAAGTGGTGATGCTGGGCGTGGTGTTGAATAGGGCGCTGCTACTGTGTGAGGCTTTTATCTCCCGTCTGTACGTGCTCCGGCTGCCGCCGTGCGACCAAAGCTCCCGCTCCCGTCTCTCGTGCTCGTCGAAAATTAGCACCACTTCCCACTGCACCTCCATTCCACCATTCCACCCGTCCAATTCCTGCATCCCGTCTCCATCTCCACTCTCTGCATCATGTTCACCGCCCGTCACGTATTCGGAGCCGTCCAGAGGCGGTCCTTCTCCGCCTCTACCAGACAGGTACGCCCGCCTCGGCTTGTGTTGCTTTTGTAGCATCCCACCGGCCTCTCAACACCCATGACATTGAAGCTAATCCTTTGGTCTATAGGCATCCAAGGTCACTGTCCTCGGCGCCGCCGGTGGTATTGGCCAGCCACTGTCGCTGCTGTTGAAGCTCAACCCGAGAGTCTCCCAGCTCGCTCTCTACGATATCCGTCTCGCTCCAGGTACAGCTTCCCTTGGGCCGGGCCATCAATTGAGCACGTCTGACGCTGGAACAACATAGGTGTCGCTGCGGACATTGGGCACATTAACACCAAGAGCGAGGTAGGGACTGTTGGGATAATGTTGAATAGTATTAATGGCTAACATGCGAAGGTTCGGGGATATGACCCAACACCCTCTGGACTTGGCGATGCTCTCAGGGGCAGTGACATCGTTCTCATTCCCGCTGGTGTGCCTCGCAAGCCTGGCATGACCCGTGATGGTAAGGTCCCCCACAATTGCTTGCTCAACTTTCTCTGATCATTGATTAGATCTTTTCAACACAAATGCCTCGATCGTCCGAGACTTGGCCAAAGCGGCTGCCGAGCACGCTCCCGAAGCCAACATCCTGATCATCTCCAACCCGGTACGCACAATGGACCAATTTGTATTTTTTCGACGGCTCCGTGCTCATTCTCTATAGGTCAACTCCACGGTCCCCATCACCGCCGAAGTCTTCAAGGCCCGGGGCGTGTACAACCCCAAGCGCCTCTTCGGTGTCACCACCCTAGACGTCGTGCGTGCTTCCCGCTTCATCTCCCAGCTGAAGAACACCGACCCAGCCAACGAGAACATCACCGTCGTCGGTGGACACTCCGGCGCCACAATCGTTCCCCTCCTCTCGCAATCCGGCTACAGCCTCACCGGCGCGACTCTTGATGAGTACGTTCGCCGAGTCCAATTCGGTGGTGACGAAGTCGTCCAGGCCAAGGACGGTGCCGGCTCTGCAACCCTCTCGATGGCCATGGCTGGTGCCCGCTTCGCCGAGAGCTTGCTCAAGGCTTCCCAGGGCCAGAAGAACGTCATCGAGCCCACTTTCGTCGACTCGCCTTTGTACAAGGACCAGGGCATTGAGTTTTTCGCCTCCAACGTCGAGCTCGGCCCCAGCGGTGTGGAGAAGATCCACCCCATCGGCAAGATCACCGAATATGAGCAGAAGCTCCTCGACGCCTGCTTGGCCGACTTGAAAGGCAACATCCAGAAGGGTGTCAACTTCATTAAGGAGAAGCCGTAAATATGAAAAGCGAGTCATTTGCAGCGTGGAGTTGAGAGATGGAGAGTAACGAGGACGGGGTTATTTGCTTCCAGCGCTTGTACTATGGGAACTCTCTGGAACTGGACTGGGACTGGGATTCAAGGGTCTTCATGCACGTAGAGCGTCGGGGCTGTGATGTCGTTCTTTGCGTGTAGATTTTGTTGTCTGTATCGTAAAGTACCTCCAATCTTGCGTCTTCCAGATTGAGTCTGCAAAGCACGTGCTCGTGATGGTGTAGTACTGTAGTATTGATCATGCAACGCAGTCAATCTAACAACTTGGATGCACCGCTTTCTAAACGATGTATCACATGGCGTTTAGTGAGTTCACATGACATGCATAATAACGAGGCCAAGCGCCTTCTCCCAGCCCAGAGTTATCTACAAAGTACACTCAATAGGACCCGAGTCTCTTTGTCATGGCCAATAGTGAAATGATCATTGACAGAAGACCACAAGGCCAATGTTCGCCGCTTTGTATTGTAGAGACCCCTGGCCTGAGTGGCGCATCCAGCCCTTTGACACGGACGAGCGCTCGAGCCGGCGAGCAAAACGCCACAACGCTCCTATCGGCGCAAGCGTCGTGTGGAGTGTGCGTATCTTATCGTGCTTATGTGGAGAAAATCCGGGGTTTATCGACGACGGCGGATGGACAGAGAGGATCTGTGCGCTAAGATTTCGATTTTTCTTCTCATGCTGTCTAGCAGAGTGCGGTGAGGGAAGCTGAGAGTCAAGCAAGGAAGTGGTAAGAATAGTAATGAGTGTGATTTGCGGGCTTGAATTGCAGGGCTGCGAGTGCCGTGGCAGGGGAAATGCCTTGCTCGGGGAACGCGAATCTGTGTGTAACGTGGCTACAGATTGGGTGTGCTCGGATCCAGTCGAGTGGTCTTCAGGAGAGACGCAAATGCGAAATATCAAGTTCCGACAGGATGTTCTACTTAGAAATAGTGAATTGCTCTGAACATATTCGATATCGAGACTGCTGGAAGCAGAAAGCTGCTGGGGCGAAAAGAAATCCGACCGTCTTACCCCTTCTAGCCCAATCATTCATCTGTCTCACGCTTAGATGGACACGGCTGGTCCTGGGATAGCGAATCTGATAGTCACAGTCGAGGTTTCATGCATGTGGAAGACATCTGGCTGATAGCGGGGGTGCCATTGGACCTCCGCTCACCGCTCCCATAACCTTCTCGAAGACTTTGGCGCGGCTGCCGGCCTGGTCGCTCAAACTAAAGCGAGCTAGTTGCCAGAAAGTAGTTTGTTGGGAGCGGCGAGTGTCTCCCGGGCCACATGCCCAAGGGCGCAACATGTGGGCAGCATCCGGACATGCGGGCGGGACTCAAGCACTCGAGCAGGCCTAACCAGGCACCAGGGGCCGTTTCTTGCTGAGGAATTTGTGTGCGAGGAACCTTGGATCTTCAGGGCTGTTCCAGAAGACGAAATGGATAGGTTCTAGGTGCAACGCCGGCGGCTGTGCTTCGTCCCTCATAGGTGATTCCTCGCGCCGGCAGCTGGATTGGCGGAATCTATGCGCGATCCTGGAGAGGCTCGGCGTGCTGCGTATCAGAGCCCCCCAGTCCGTTCGTAAGCTTGCGTGCAGGATATTCGATACCTAGGCGTGATTCTAGGTGGCAAAGTAATTCCTCGGCGCATCCCTCGAGCACTTGAAGTACAAAGGTATCATGAAACATCGCAAGGTGGAGCAGCCCGCGGGCAGCGGCTCGCAAGTAATTAATGGCGATGCAGCCATTCGCCACCAGCCAGTGCAATCCGTGGTGGTGAATGGGGCGGGCTACGAAGGTGCTCTGGTTCTGATGGGGCGCTTTGCCTAGTTCGTGACGTTCTACTGGGGCCTCTCGCTTGGAAGTCCGTGCAGCTTTTTTTTCGCCAGCCGTAGAAAAAGCCGTCCCTCTGCTGCCGCCTTCTTCTCCCCATCCACCCTCTCTCCCCTCACCTCTCGCCGTGCCTACACCAGGCCTGCTCTGCTTGCTCCGACCGTCTGTTCTCTGCACTTGCATAGAGCGCAGCGCGTCTCCACCGCGTCGCTGCACGTCCGGATCCCCCACTAGAGCGCCTCTTTCACTGCTGTCAGAGCGCCTGTGACCGCCCGCCGCCCCTCTGCAAAAGCCTTATCGCCCGCACAAAACCTTTTCACTACACCCACCGACTCGACCCCATACACATGGCTCCAGCCGCAGACATGGCCGCCCCCCACAACCCCTCGACCGTCAAGGCCGAGAACTCAAAGTCGCTGAAGGTCCTCGACGACCTGTTCTCCAAGCTGACCGTCTCCAAGACCCAGGATGAGGTGAACGCTGCCTCGCAGGGCCTGGCCACCTTCATCAACGGCGACATCGAGGAGGGCGAAGTGCCCACCAAGTAAGTTTTCCTGCCACTGTGCACATTTCGCAGCCCTCGCTTCGTCCGCACGGTCGCAATTTTGCAAGAACGCCCCGCTGATAGCAGACAACAGGTTCGTCGAACTGTTGAAGAAGCAGCTTGCCAGCAAGAAGGATGCCAATGCCCGCGAACGCGCTCTCAACGCCATCCAGAATATTGCCCAGCATGGCACCGTCTCCCCCGCCGTCGAGCCATACCTCGTCAGCCTGCTCCCCAACGCGCTGGCTGCCGTCGCCGATAAGATGACCCCCGTCAAGGTGGCTGCCCAAGCTGCCTCCAAGGCCATCGTCGAGGCTTCGAACCCATACGCCGTCAAGGTCGTTATCCCGGCCATCATCCACTCGCTTCGCACCACCCAGAAGTGGCCCGAAAAGATGATCGATCTCGAGTGCATCGAGATCCTCTGCAAGACCTCTGCGGCTCAGCTGGCTTACCGCGTGCCGGACCTGATTCCCGTCATCTCTGAGGCCATGTGGGACACAAAGCCCGAGGTCAAGAAGGCTGCGTACGCCACCATGGAGAAGCTCTGTGCTCTCATCTCCAACAAGGATATTGAGCGCTTTATTCCCGAGCTCATCAAGTGTATCGCCAAGCCAGAGAACGTCCCCGAGACTGTTCACTTGCTCGGTGCCACTACTTTCGTTACTGACGTCCACGAGCCGACCTTGGCTATCATGGTGCCGCTCCTTGAGCGCGGTCTCGTTGAGCGCGAGACTGCCATCAAGCGAAAGAGCGCCGTCATCATCGACAACATGTGCAAGCTCGTCGAGGACCCCCAGATCGTTGCCGCTTTCCTGCCAAAGTTGATGCCAAAGCTCAACTCGAACTTCGACACCCTCGCTGACCCCGAGGCTCGTGAGAAGACCCGCCAGGGTCTGGACACCCTCATCCGCGTCGGTGACGTCAAGGACGGCAAGATCCCCGAGCTTTCCAAAGCTGGTGACATCGCCACTGTCCTTGGTAACTTGAAGCAGTCGCTCCCTTCCAAGACCAAGGCCGGTGCCAAGTTTGACCCAATTCTCACTTACATTGCCGCCATTGGTGGCCAGCTTATCGACGAGAAGGACCACGAGCTGTACAGCTGGGAACAGAACACCATTGCCTACATCGGTGCTGTTGTTGGCGACGAGGAGGCCAAGAACGTTGCCGATACTCTCCGCAAGAAGAGTCTTCCCGGTGTTGCTGAGGAGAACGAGGTTGAGCCTGATGAGGAAGAGGGTGAGGACCTCTGCAACTGCACATTCAACTTGGCCTATGGTGCCAAGATCCTGCTCAACCAAACCCATCTTCGTCTGAAGCGTGGCCAGCGTTACGGCCTTCTGGGACCCAACGGTTCTGGTAAGACAACCCTGATGCGCGCCATCAACAACGAGCAGGTCGAGGGCTTCCCCAAGCAGAGCGAGGTCAAGACCGTTTACGTCGAGCACGATCTCGACTCCGCCGATACCGAGCAGACTGTCATCGAGTGGACACTGAAGAAGCTTGCTAGTGTCAACATCAACACTTCTCAGAAGGATGTTGAGGCTACGCTCCTCGAATTCGGCTTCTCCGAGGAGATGTACGCTGGACCCATCACTTCGCTCTCTGGTGGCTGGAAGATGAAGTTGGCTCTTGCCCGTGCCGTCTTCGAATCGCCTGATATTCTGTTGCTGGACGAGCCTACCAACCACTTGGACGTCAAGAACGTGAAGTGGCTAGAACAGTACCTCGTCAACTCACCCTGCACATCCATCATCATTTCTCACGACAGCAAATTCTTGGACAACGTCGTTCAACACGTTATCCACTACGAGCGCTTCAAGCTAAAGCGTTACCGTGGTAATCTCAGCGAGTTCGTCAAGCGTGTTCCATCTGCCAAGTCCTACCACGAGCTCAGCGCTTCCGACATGGAGTTCAAGTTCCCCGAGCCCGGTTTCCTTGAGGGTGTCAAGACCAAGGCAAAGGCCATCATTCGTGTCACCAACATGAGCTTCCAGTACGAGGGTACCCCAAGGCCCCAGATTTCCGGCATCTCTTTCCAGTGTTCTCTCGGCTCGCGTATTGCCGTTATTGGTCCCAACGGTGCTGGCAAATCTACTCTCGTCAACGTCTTGACTGGTGAGCTTATCCCAACATCTGGTGAGGTCTACCAGCACGAGAACATCCGTATCGCCTATATCAAGCAGCACGCTTTCGCCCATATCGATCACCACCTCGACTCCACTCCTTCGGAATACATCCAGTGGCGTTTCCAAACTGGTGAAGATCGCGAGACCATGGACCGTGCCAACAAGATCATCACCGACGAGGATGAGAAGGCCATGGACAAGGTTTACAAGATCGAGAACACCCCTCGACGAGTCATCGGTATCCACTCGCGTAGGAAATTCAAGAACTCCTACGAGTATGAATGTTCGTTTGCCCTTGGTGAGAACATTGGCTTGAAGAACGAGCGCTGGACCCCTATGATGACTGCTGACAACGCCTGGATTCCTCGATCTGAGATCCTCTCCTCGCACGCCAAGATGGTGGCTGAGGTCGATCAGAAGGAGGCCCTCGCTAGCGGTCAGTTCCGTCCTCTCGTCCGAAAGGAGATTGAGTCTCACTGCGCCAACTTCGGTCTCGATGCTGAGCTGGTATCCCATTCCCGTATGCGTGGTCTGTCTGGTGGTCAGCGTGTCAAGGTCGTCCTCGCCGCTTGCTCGTGGCAGCGACCGCATTTGATCGTCTTGGATGAGCCTACCAACTACCTCGACCGTGACTCCCTTGGAGCGCTCTCCAAGGCCATCAAGGCTTTCGAGGGTGGTGTCATCATCATCACTCACTCCGCCGAGTTCACTCGCGATCTGACTGAGGAAGTCTGGGCCGTCATGGACGGAAAGATGACTCCTTCCGGTCACAACTGGGTGCAAGGTCAGGGTGCTGGCCCTCGGTTGACCGAGAAGGGCGAAGAAGAGGAGAAGTTCGATGCTATGGGTAACAAGATCACCGGAGGCGGAAAGAAGAAGAAGCTCTCCAGCGCTGAGATGCGGAAGAAGAAGAAGGACCGTATGGCCCGTCGCAAGGTTAGTTTACTCGCTCTCAACGTCCTTTCAGCATTGACAAACGCTAACATTGTTTCCAGCGTGGCGAGGAGGTTTTCACTTCCGACGAAGATTAGATGCTATCTGCGTGGAAATGATTGACGATGTGCTTGTTTGCATACCCGATTTCTTCCTGTTGGAAATCCTAGCAGATGAAGACACCAAAAGCCTAATGAAGGGGTGGCTAGACGCTGGCATACGATTGTTTAATGTAGCATCCAGCAGGGTTGGGAAGGCGTACGGGCGGTCTCATGTCATGTCATGGCTTATGGCTCTCATGTTCCTGTTGTCTCTTTTTCATTCTCTTAAAATATTATGCTTTCGGGGTGATAGACGTAGATTTCTGCATTATCAAAGATCGCTTTTGATATTGTTCAAGTTATTTCTCATCGTTTGCTATGTGATGTCCGGGTGCGATTTTCTATTAAGAGAGGGTTTCTTGCTGTCTTTGTTTCCCCGTCTAGATTTTCTAGTTCTGTGAGTGAGGCTTCGTTAAGGTTTTGTCATAATCCACGTGGACTTACTCGCAGCCAGGACTAACCTAATTTGAACGACTTTGAAACCTTACCTCCACATCATTCCTAAGTAGGTACACCCAACGAGGCTCCTCACGCCAGGGCCTGCGGTTTGATCTTGACCCCTATAGATCGACTCACGACAACCGCACCCATTCTCCTCTCTCCATACCAACAATCATCACAATGAACTCATCGGCGAGGGACGCGGCCGTGGGTTGCAATTCATCTACGAAAGACACGGAGATCTATCGTGAGCACTTCGTAGCTATGGCCGATCACAGGTATGCGCAGTGCCTTGCCTAACCTGGCTGTGCTCTTGGGTTTCCGCCGATTGCTCAAGATGACAGTAACTACAAAACGAAGAATCTAACTTAACTTTACCTCAAGGAAACCGTTCCTGTACCAAACCATTGTCACGCTCCAATTAGGTCCATACATGAGCTTCCCAGTTCACAGGGAGCTCCTCGTCTGCAAATCGCCCGTCATTGCGAAACACTTCAACCTCGCTCCACTCCACGCCGAGGTAGAGGCTCTACTCAGAGAGAAGCTCACGAGGATGAGGTCCATGCCGAAGGCCGTTCCGGCAAACCTTGATGGGCATCATCTCAATTGCGATGTAGGTCACAAGGTATATACGGAAAGACCTCTCCTAACCCATCTCAGATCATCAGCGAACTCTCATGTACGGAACTCGACGGTCACTTCAAAGACACACGGGCGAACCTTACTCCTTTGATGAACCAGATCTTCGCAGAGCTCGCCAATCGGGACTGGAGTTGGGGCCCTCCCAAGGAAGAGCACATCCTATGGGACCTCGAAGTCAACAACGAGCTCGAAACGCTGGACGCCGTCGTCGCTAGAGTCACAGAGCACCTCGAGAAACGCCTCCTCCAGCATACCACATGCGAAGGCCTTCCCGACGATGTCGCCGATGCTGCCATGAACCGTTTCAAGCTTCCCGAAAAAACTGACCGAGAGGAAGTGGAGATACTCATCCATGCGCTGTATACCAGCCGGTTTGAGACTGTGGATGAAGAAGGCGCTTTCCACGATGCTCCACTCGATGACCTGCTCAAGGTGTTCGCCCTCGCGGAAAAGCTGCAGATGGAATCTGTCCTGTGCGGCATTGTAGATCTGCTGCAAATGAAGTACCACGGGGCTATGAACGGCAGCGGTGGTATAGCTTGGACGAAAACTTTTGTTGCTGCACTGGAAGGGAATGTCGTGGCGCTCGCGATACTTGCAGACCTCGGAATATACTAAAGAACAAGACTAGCGGCCCTTCGGCGGGATAGTAATCCTAGAGTAGGCCGGCGATGAAAGGGGATTGGCGTGCTGGGAAAGCGCAGCATCGGGATATATATAGGCAAAGGCTTTTTGTAAGACATAATCTCTTTCTCATTCTAGACAAGGCCTCTCCTAATCTGAACATCTCTGACGCACAAATAGACACACATCAAACAAGTTTTTTAAGCATAGCGTGGTGTCACCATTAGCCGGTATCGCAATAACGCATTTCAGGGATGGATTTCTCATTGCAATAGACGCATCCAAGACTCTTCCTGAATTTCATACACTCTCGTCTTTCCATTCATACATCTAATCCGCATGCCACTTTTCAGAACCAAACAGATCCCACATGTATCAATCCGACCCCACTTCAAAGAGTAGACACAAAGCCAGCAAAACCAAAAGACCCCAGAATCCAAAAACGCCACCCACAGCACCATCTGCTCAAACCAATGTATACACCATCCCCAAACCCACCTAAGCAACCCCGCTCACCTTCCTATAGCTGAGTCCACCCAATCCCATCCCCTTCCACCTCCCACCAGTCCCCACGCCGCCCCTGCCCTCCTCCGCCACCTTCCCGCTAACATCCCGCTTTCGTCCACTCGCCAGATCCCCATCTTCATACCCGCCGAAACCATAATCCCCATCGATATCAACACCCGAGCGGCTAACCACCCGCGGGCTCTGGGCCGTCACAGGCGTGTACCCCGCCTCACCCGTACGCCTAATACTCGCGAACGAGTGTCCCTTAACCTTCGTTGGCGATGCGTTGGTAGTGTACGCCTTCGCCCGCGACGGATACGCGTTGTGAGGGGCGTACTTCGACGGGCTGGGAGCGGGCGAACCGCGCGTTGGGCTCGTGTTGCCGGGCGAGTCGCGAATGCCCTGGGTCGCGGCTTTGAGGTCGCCGTAGTAGCGGCTCTTGGGCGTCAGGGGGCGGTTGGTGGGCGAGCGCATGAAGGTCGAGTCTGTACTGATGGAGGTTACGGTCATCGTGCGGGCTAGTTTTGGAGTGGTGTTTGTGTTGAGGACGGGCGGGTTGTAGGGGTTGTTGTAGCCGTTTGTGCTTGTGCTTGTGCCGGTGGCCGGGCGCGAGGGATAGGAGGAATTGGATGGGGAGGATTTGAAGTTGTTGGCCGCTGCGGGAGGGGGCGTGGGTGGGTTCATTCGGAGGGGTTGGGGGATCATGATGTCGCTGTCGTCGTCTGAGATGTCGCCGGAAAGTTGGTTGTATTTAGTTGTGGTTCCGGACTTGCTCTTCGTTGGAGAGTGAGAGCGTGAGTTGGTGGATGGAGCGGTGGTGTATGGGTCGTCGTCCTCAGATGCATGGACAAACCAATTGTCGGATTGAAGGCTCTCGCGGCTAATCCGCTGAGGAGTGCCGTTGTTGGAGTTGTTTGCGCTCTTCTCGTCATTCATAGCCGATACGAAGGAGTTAGGGCGTGAGCGTTGAATGGATTGCGCTGCGAGGAAAGATTTGCGTTGGGCCAACGTCTCGCCGTCGCTGTCATCCCTACGATGGAGGTCCTCGCGCCTATGGAGATCGGCGCGAGAGTTTCGTACGGACGCCGGCTGCTGGTATATCGAGTTCGCAAGATCTGTACGCGAAAGACGAGCTGTTGTGGGATTGTGTGGCGAGTAGCTGACATCAGAGTTTGCTCTTGTGTGGAAGAATGCTACCTTGCTGACATCCGGCACAGGGATCAATGGGTCTGCTTGCGACCCGCGGTTTGAAAGTGAAGTCGTGCTATTGGTCTGGGTGTTAATTTTCTTCTCATCCGCTGTTAAGGGAATCATGGCCGAAATCGAGGAATTCTTCGCCTTGTGCTTGGTTTTGCGCCGAGAAGTGAGATTGTCCTCAAGTGGATTCATGTCTGGTGGTAGATGAGTGATCTTCCGGAATATGACCACGAGATATAGATCCAGAAATAGAGAGAAACAATGCAGTCCAGCAATGGCAGTCGCGGTGAGCCAGGTCGTCTGAAGGATCTTGTTGGCATCTCCGTCTGTAGGAAATAGAGTCCTCCATCGGCCAGACGTTCCCGGTGCTTCATGATAATTACGATTAGACAGTAATGCTGTGAATACGTAGAACGGGATGAGGCCGGCATCTATGATCTACTAAATGTTAGCATTCTTGCTTCCGTGTGAGCGTGGAGATTCTCTACCAGAGCAAAAAAGTGATAGCTTGCAGAGCTTCCCGGTGTGCGGTGTTTGGCGGTCCGCACAAGATGGTAGATTGCATACAATACGGTTGCAATATCAACACCAGCCTAACAAGTTGTGAGCAATTGTTGTCTCCGGACGACTAGAGTGTTGCATACCGGTATCCGGATCACCCATCCTTCAGTCGGTTGCGTGCCGCGGATGGCAATAACACAGACCAAGATCCCAATTGCGGCAATCAATTGCAAGACCCGCAGCAGTAGCTGTAACCATCGTGTCCACTTTATGACTGTCTTTGTCTTCGGGCTCATCGGCTTGGCGTCGGTCTTGCCATAGGGAAGGATCAGGTAGCTGTCAGGATGGCGATTGAAGTTGATCAGAGGGCCCTCTTGCTTCGGCCTGGGAGGCGGCGGGGGCTGGCGGCTTGCCATTGTCACGGCTTTGGGATTGAAGCCATTGTACAAGAAAGGATCGTCGGCGATGGACTTCGGCGCACCGTACTGATAGGGCTGCCCGCGGCCCATGTTTCTCTGCCACGTCTGCTTGGGAGTGAGAGCAAAAGAATGTGACTTGGCAGCTCGTGGAAAGAAGAGCGAGGAATGCAGAGCGTCCAACGAGTGTGAGCTTCGGCTATCAGAGGAATGCCTGAGGATGTGGATGCATGGTGGGATGCTGCGCGGAGGTAATCAACCCGTCTCCATAGCAACGCGTTTTAGTCTGTGCTGAACGAAGGCTTAACGCCACATGTGAAACGGGATGCATGAAGTACGAGATATAGGAAAGAAGAGAAGGCGCTGAATACTTATCCAAGTCTTGAGTTTGATGCAGTATGCTTCATTACGTATATAGAGGTTTGTGGTGTTGATAGCAGCGGTTACTACGAAGTAGAAAGCTGATTGGCGCAGAAATGGAGGTGTTCGACGTCACCCCAAAATCTTCGAGCCTCTACCTCCGCATTAAACATGCATATCTTCCGCAGAACGCCGTACATATGCCCCAGCTGTACACACAAGTTTTTAATCAATGTGTCGAACCGGTTGCCTATACATAGCGTCTCAAAAGTAGCACGACAGGCCTCCCGCAGCTACAGCAATGCATCCATCTCGGCGAAGCCGTTCAGACTCGCCATCATCGGCTCTGGCCCTGCCGGCTTCTACTCTGCATATCGGGTGATGCAGAAGCTCCAGAATGCTACCGTGGATATGTATGAACATCTGCCGGTGCCTTATGGACTGGTGCGATTCGGGGTTGCCCCCGATCATCCGGAAGTGAAGGTACGTGGAAGAGGTCAACATGTCAGAAACCACCATGCTCACACAATATACAGAATTGCGAGGACAAATTCGAAGAAGTCGCGTCATCGCCTCGTTTCAACTTCATCGGAAATGTGAACATCGGCCATGACATCCCCCTCGCATCCCTCACGCCTCACTACGATGCGATCCTTTTTGCCTACGGCGCGTCTAAAGACAAGAGGCTCGGAATACCCGGGGAGGATCTACAAGGCGTATACTCGGCACGTGCGTTTGTGGGGTGGTACAATGGATTGCCGGAGTATGCGCATATTGCCCCGCAACTAGATGCTGGAGAGCAAGCTGTAGTCGTTGGGCAGGGTAACGTGGCATTAGACGTAGCCCGCATACTATTGAGCGGAGTTGATGCCCTCCGGAAGACAGATATCACGGAACAGGCCTTGGAGACGCTGTCACGGAGTAGGGTGAAGTCTGTAAAAGTAGTCGGGCGAAGAGGTCCCATGCAGGTATGCAGATTCCCTTCATGCGACAAAGCGTTGCTAATTCTTTCAACCCAGGCTGCATTCACTATCAAGGAGGTCAGAGAGCTTATGAATCTACCTTCCGTATCATTCCGGCCAATTGACTCATCGCTGTTTCCGCCTGACATTACGAAGCTCCCCAGGGTACAGAAGCGAATAGCGCAAGTTCTCGTCAAAGGCTCTTCGTCTCCATCTTCGTCGTCCGCGAGGTCATGGGACCTCTCGTTTTTGATGTCTCCAAAGAGTTTCAATGCATCTCCTAGCGATGCACATGCACTTTCAAGTATGGACTTTGAAAAGACACAGTTCGCCTCGGATTCCGATCCCTTTGACCGCAATGCCAAAGTAGAGCCCACCGGAAACATACTTACAGTGCCAGCATTTCTTGCATTCCGATCTGTTGGCTACAAATCGGAGGGACTGCCTGATTTTGAGGCTTTGGGGGTCCCCTTCGACGATCGTACGGGCATCATTCCTAATGATGCCTATGGCCGAGTTATCAACCCGGAAATTGGACCAGGAGCCCTGACCGCCGGCCATGTTCCGGGCATGTATTGCGCTGGTTGGGTCAAGCGAGGGCCCACTGGAGTAATTGCCAGTACTATGGACGACGCCTTCGTCTCTGCCGACGTGATTAGCAAGGACTGGGAGCAGCAGGCGTCGTTTCTGAACTCGGAGTTCGGAGGGAGCTCGGGTCGTGGATGGGAGGGATTAAAGGGCGAAGCTATTAATAAAGGTCTGAGGCCTGTCTCATGGAAAGACTGGAAGAGGATCGATGCGGTGGAAAAGGAGAAGGGTGCAAAGCTGGGCAAAGAGAGGGAGAAGTTCACCAGTGTTGAAGATATGCTACGAGTGCTAGATTCATGAATAGATGATACAGATTTGCAACAAACAATCATGCTCTTATTGATTCTCTATAGCCATCGGCTTATGCTAAGTCATACCTAGGAGTGAAATTTCAGAAGCCATGTCACATGGCCACACACTCAAGCCTTCTCCAACCTCAACATTCAAAACGCCCTGTTTCGTTGAGGACATGAGATTGATGGAGGATATTAGAGCGCCCGAATGGACCGGGTGCAACGAAGACGACAATTTGAGAGCATGGATGGGTCAGAAAACAGTCGAACCAAGGGCAAGCGCAGCCGATTGAGGAAGAAGCAGACATTGTCAAGAAAATAGAATTCTCTTCCATCTAGGATGGCTGACCCGATCCAACATGCAGTCGCGAAAGTGAGATGCAAAGCCTAACGGCAACGAGGACCAAAAAGCGATGCGAAGGAAAACCCTCCTGTCGCACAGACATCGAAAAACTCTCCTTCGAACACCCGCACAAGGCGAGTGGATCAATGAAAAGCCATAGGGCAGGCAGCGGACCAGCAAAAATTACGCCGGTGAAGCCCCCGAAGGAGATTCATGACAGCCCGTCGCCGCGTTGTGCAATGCAGGACAGTCTGCCAGGTGGACCGAATTCATGAGCTCAGCCACCCCAACAAGGTCTGTGAAGATTGTTAGCTGTGATGAGAACTAAGCAGGAGAGGAAGAGGAATCTTACAAGTATGAACTTCGTGCGAAGGTTCAGAGGGGGACGGTGGCTATATACCTGAGCGAAACGACGCCAAGGCGCTAGCGGCTAGCGTATCGAAAGCCGTGGAAGGTCGTGGAATCGCTGCTGCCTGGCACGCTCAAGCATTTCAACACCGTCTGAGGTGAGCTATCAGAAATGCCAGAACTGGTGTTCTACGAATAATAATAACATACCAGCTCTGGCATTTCTGATGGCTCACCAGGCCGCCTCAGACAGTGTTGGAATGCTTGAGTGTGGCACTTTTTTCATGCCCCGCGTAGCGGGTCAAAGAGTGAGGTGGCTGGTCGTTGCAGTGAAACGAATTCATCACGTGACCTACACACTCCCTTGCTCGTTTTCTGCGTTGATGATAGCGGAGCGTCAGGTCAGGAGAATTCCATCAAGAAGTAGTCCTCACAATCACAGTCAAAATCACGGTGAGCACAATGCATCCTCAATCAATTTCAAGTAAGGAGTAACTTCAAATGACCCCAAAACTCACACACCAAACTTGTACACAGAGAGAATTATTGAAGGTGGGAAACACGGATAATGTTCCTTGGTTGCTGAATATTATGCGAAGGAACCTTCAGAAGCAGCTTAGGAGTACAATGTAAATAATAAGAAATAGGACGCGGTTCAATTACGAATAGTGATTATAGATGCGGATTACGAACCTAGACAAGAGAATCGATCGCTAGCCACCCAAGTAGAGCCACCAACATAATCCTCGCCAACCGGAAACATATACAGAAGCCACAAGGGCTGCGCGTATCGTAAAAGTATTTACTGGCAGTCTCAGAATAGGCTCGTGGGGCTAGTCCTACGATCCATTTACGGTTCCTTTGAGTCCCTCAATCAATTCCTTCAGCTCGCTAACATCCTTCCTCAATTTCCTGAGCTCCAGAATGGCGGCATCAGTTTCCACGTTCGGCTTCGAGTCCTCAACTTTCTTGGTCCAGCCATCGGCCTCGAAGTCGCACTCGTCATTCAGCTGCTCCCACTCCTCAACGGTGTCATCGTCCTCCTCCCCTCTCTTCCGGTTGTACTTAACAACGTGTGCCTGCTTCGTTTCAAGGAATGAGGTGATCAGTAAGAGGGGCGAGTAGATGACGCCCATGACGTAGTCGTTCAGTCGTTGGTACTTGTCGTAGGGCATCCACCATTCGAAGGGAATTACGAGCAAGAAAAGCTCGATGAGGTTGAAGGGGGCGATGAATACATTCTCGTCGGGAGCACGAACGAACTGCATGGTCTTTTGCGCGAACTAGTTGTATGTTAGAGGCATATAATGCGTCGACAGAGAGTAAACTTACTAGAGCCATGTATTCATCAACAGCGTTTTCCGTGATGTCCTCATATGCAGAGTTGTACAGTGCAATCAAGATGTTCAGGAGAACAACCATGACAACAAAGGTAAAGATATAGTAAAGAATAAGACCGAAAGGGGGCTGTAAAAGGTAGTAATCAGCAGCTGTCTTTGCAATCATGGCTATTAGAGCATTTCTGGACAAACTTACAGCAAAAGTGTCGAATCCCTCAAACTCCGGGCTCTGCATAATAGCTTTAAGCATAGCCTCGATCACGAAACCGGTATCCTCCAACTCGTTGTCAACTTGGTCTAGTCCCATGAATGCTTGTAAGAATCCGATCAAGACTACGAGAAGAAGCGCAAAGAATATCAGCGATTCCTTCATCATGACCTTCAAGACGACCAACATGGCGCCGAAGAAACGGTAGGTATCGAGGTAGAGTAACAGTCGCATCCAAAACATGGGAGCGGAGAATGCCAAGAAGTTGTACGAGAGTTCGTTGAATTCCCTGCGTTTTTCGTGGTGTACAGGATGCGAGAGGGCAATCATACGCGTGACGAAAGAGACTGTCAGCAAGGCGTATAGCGTGCTGTTGAATATGTTCCAGAATCCAACGTAGTAACGGCCAATTTTCCAGAACTTAGCAAACTCGTCGCATATGAAGCCCAGGGTGAAGAGGTACAGCAATCCTTCAACAATGTCCAGGTCACCGGTAGGGTTTATCGTGTTGACTGCTCCGGTGTAGAGTCCTAGGAAAATGAGAGACATGGCGATTTGAACAGTGTTCTGATACACAGGAACGCGCATCCTGTCAGGATCAAAATGCGCCCAGTAACTAGTGTTTGTCTTTTTCTTGTAGTCGACAAATCGTGACGGATCTTCGTCGTCCTGAACCAACCAGCCGCGCCAGAGGAAAGATATGCATTTTTGATAGCCCGAAGATCCAATCACGCGAAGGGCATGGAGATCGACAGCCCGTTCGATCGCATTCGCTGGAAGCGAGTCCTTGCCATTGATTATAATGGAGTATCGCTTGAGTAGGACATCCTGAAGTAGATAAGTCATGTCCTCTTCCTCCTCTATGATGGCCTTCGCCATGACCTCACAGGCGACAGCGCGGACATCGTGCAAGTCCGAGTCCCAGAGCTCCAGGATGGCCTGGCGTTTGAACCATTTTTTGACTACGAGCAGACAGTAAATAACACAACTCTTGTATTCTTCTCCTCCAGCGTCCTTGGCGGCCTTGATCACGGCGGGTGTGATGACGGAACTGTGGGCCTTTGTAATCTTCCATTCCTCCAGCTCGCAGGGTATGACTTGTTCAATCTGGTATTTCAGACGCAACGCGACCTTTGTGACTTCTTTGGAAGGTATGGGAGAAGGAGGTTGTTCGTTGCGGCGGGTTGGGAGTACTGCAAGGAATGGTGAGCGGATGTCCTTCAAATGGAAAAAACATATAATGACAATGCTCAAGAAGGTGCCACGGACGTGCGCGTAATTCATCATGAAGGCCACGACGCGTATCGTGGCCGTCCAGGTTGAAGAGCTTTCCCCACCGAACCATCTTGACGACGGAGCTGCGTGCAAGCTGCAACTGGGCCGATCAACAACGAATAAGATACTCTAGGAGGAAAGGATGAAGCAATTGAAAACAGGAGTATGGTATGAATAGCAGAGGGACGAACGGAGAGGGGAGGTTGGCGGCGGTGGTTGGCGCAAACGCAGAAGTTGGCTTGGAAGCTTGGACCGCCGGCGGGGAACAGCTCCAAAGCAAGCTTGGAAAATCTGGCGATGCATGACGCACCTGATCTGCAAAGCCCCTGTTCATCAGCCCTCGTGGCTCGGCAGTGCTCCCGCTTCTGGCACTCCGTGATACAGTATCCCCCCCTGTAGGGAGAACCGAGACGTCTTTGCTTCTTCAGCTGCATCCTGGACCCTGCCGATCCCTTGAGCCTCAACTCTCAACCGACATCGTGACATCCTCGACCTGCACCATCATGACTCCAGCTCCGGGGACCTCGAAATGTAAGCGCACATCTCTCACGAACGAAGGAGCAGTCCGCCTAGCTGCGTGATCCTACAATATGTGTCGAGCATCTACTCTCCGACACCCGTCACCAGGTCCGACCTTGTATGCATCCTATGAAGCATCATAGAAAAAGAAGCCGGTTAAAAAAGGCTTCGGACAGCCGCAAAACGGCTTTCCGTTATCGAACCTTAACAGGTTTTGGGCAGATACGCTATCCTACTATCAAGTCGATTATTTTGTGTCCTTTGTTGTTTGAAGCAGCCTTCATTCTACGGACCTCCTTCTCCCCCCAGCCCTTTCCATAAGCATGTCGATATTGATCGCATCTATCGAGCCTTTCTGGCTCAAAAGACGTATCGCTCGAGATACAAAGGGTGCCGCCGAGAGCATATTCCGGTTACGTAAGCACCTCACCCAAATCTCGAAACTTGCTTCGCACCACCCAACATGGGCCAATAAATGTACTTTCTGCGAGAATCATTAACAAGAGGCACAGACAGATACATCTAGCTACTTGGAAGCGTATTTAGCTTCTGAGCTTGTTATGTGCAGCTCTTCGAAGGTACCGAAAATTGGTGGTTTTGATGTTCCTCGCCTCGCGTATTAGCTGTTGGGGTCCGGAATATGCACTCGGCGGCACCCTTTGTATGGATGACCTTAGAAACGTTAAGCTTGTTGCCTCCATCGTCCTTCGAAAGTATGACCTAGAAGAAACGTTTCCGTCACGGCCGTCTGCTTTACACCCAGTGGTTGCAGAACCACAAACTAGATACCCATCGTGACTTCAACACGACTAACAGGGGTAAGCTATGACGGACCACCTATGGAGGCGGGACGCAGCTCTCACGCGAGTCCCGGGTACAAAGACATCTTTGGCTACAACATCTTTGGATACGGAGCTAGTGACGTACGCCACGGCACGCTTGGAGATCCAGGGCAAGGCAAAATCATGCTCCTGATAGATTCTTGAGTTCACTATCTGCTTTCACGAAACCAAGAAGACTGGGGGTGCTTTGTCGCCTGCCGTGTCAGCCTCACTCGGAATAACCATATTTGCCCCTGCAGATCTGCAACCCAACAATATAAGCTTCTCTTAATTTTGGGGTCCGTTTCAAGTTCACGAAGAACATCGCATTTCATCAGAAGATGACACGAGGTAACTTTAACGCTGGCGGTTGGAACCGCATGTTACGACATCCGATGCCAGTCGATTCGGCGCCACCAACGCCTGCATACGCCCTACACTCGCGACGATGCCCCTTTCCGATTTTCGCCTCTCGCCTACCCCCAGTATGTGAGCTCGTCTCTGCTGTATAACCGCTTCTTTGCGTAACAAGGGCTACCCACATCGCTTGCAAAGGATCCAGTCCCATAACCACAAATCAAAGGTGACCTCGAAACAATGGCGGAATGCAACTCAGCTACCAACTACGCCAAGGCCGACAGAAATGGTCATGCCCCGTAGCTTTGTTTCCGAGAATCATGGATCAAGCTCCCGTGGTACAACCCAATTGCGGGCTGTGCTAGATACCGACACTGAAATCTCCTCTACCTTGGGGACTGCTAGGTTCGTGGTTACAAACAGGCTTCAGCTACTATCTCTTCGCACGCTGATTTACGTCCACAGTTATCGATAAGGATTCGGCCAATTAGAGGCTCCGAATTAGGCCCCCGTGATGAGGCCTACACCCGGCTGAGGCAATTCAAATACGTGTAGCAGCTATATACAAGCTAGTCTATAGAGTTAAGCTTGGCCATATAATCCTTCCATCCCGTGCAAATAGAAGTAGCTGAGCCCTTGGACGGCCGGTGATCCTTGGCGTACTCGTTCGTCCAGCGCACCATCTTCTCTACCATTTCATCGGTAAAGAATAGGCGGAATAGGGCCACAGGATCATGCTGATCAAGACCTGGAGGTATATTGGGGGTGCCGGGCGCGTCGTAGTTGTTGATTTGTAGTGGCTCGAATGCAGGCAGCGGCGTAGGCTTGGGGTAGGGAAGTTTGGGGTGTTTGTAAGGCTTCGGGTCCTTCTGCACGTAGTCGACATCATTAGATGTCCGTGGCATTGTGGAGTATTTGATTGTGGATAATAACTAGCTATTTGGCTTGTTTACGTGCTGGCGCGTACGTTGGGGCACGGGCTTGGCGCCAAGTGTGGACGCCAGCGTGCGAAGGGATAAGACTCTCATAAATTCCCGTTGGCCTAAGACCAACAATCTTATCACCTCCGATTATCAGCTTCAGACTTTGTCCAAGAAATGGCACTAAAACACCGGTCCTTAGCAGCTACTGTCACAGCCATTTTCCTTGCTGCACACACTTGCGCTTTTCCAACTGCGCACGATGCAACTGTCCTCGACGACACGCCAGTAAATCTCACGTCAAGACAAGACGTCAGTGCTAGCGCCTTTTATTTCTGGGGATGGAATGGCTGCAACACGGATGATCATCCGGACTGGTCCTCGGTCATTGAAAGTGCGTGGGGTGAGCTTCTGGAAATCGGCAAGTCGGTTTCAAGCGACATAGACTTCACCAGCGATGTAAGAATAGTCTTTCCTCTGAAATTCTTCTCTGCCCAGAATCTAATCATGATCAGCAAGCTGGTGACTTTCTAGGCTCTCCAGACAACAACCAAGACTATCAAACCGAGATTAATGGTATATGAAATGACACTTTCTGAGAAATAGTTAACTGCGTTAACTAACAGTCAATGTAGCTATCATGAAAAACATTTAAACATGGCACAACGATGGGACAATACTAGCATGGCAACTCGAAGCTCGCTGTGACGATTACCTACGACGAACAGACCTAGAGTGTCCCTTAGGAACACATGACGAGGACGTAGAAAAATGTTAGTACTTGAGGCGTGTTTGTGTGTTTGTGTCAATGTAAGAACAAGGAATGCTGACATATCCGCAGGTAACAGTAGATGCTGGAGAGCGATAACCCAGAAGGACTCAAGCGGAAACGACGTTGTATCTTCATGGGTTCCTCGTGCAGCAGCTTACACTACTAACCATAACGGTGTTGACGTGACTACAATAAATTTCTGGTCAAGTTTCTTCACTTTGGGGTCTTGCCCGGACAGGATCGCAAGCATGAAACCGATTACTGGCGAGAGGGACAGGCTCCTTCTACGCAATTATGAATGCCGCGGTTAGTTCTACAGATGGTTGGCATTGCGAGTAATACTATACTAACACTTCTCTCTAGGCTACGTCGCGTTACACGAGCTCTTTCACATCAATGCAATGGTAAACCGCGTTGCATACCGCATCAAACACGTGTATGATCGTAAAATCCAGATTTGGTCTCCCCATTTCAATAAGCAGGTCGTGGTACAGGTATACGGAGGCGAATACACCAAAACGATGGCTCGATGGACGAAAAACACGGGATGGTGGGTTGCCACCAACGGTAAGCAGCCTTTCAGTTCAGCACCTCCTTATCATGACCTAACGACTTCGCAACAGCCGATAATTTCGCACAGTACGCACTCGCCATGTGGGTTACTGGTCAGATCGGGGACTACCCTCGCTATCCTATCGTCAGCGAGCAACCCACCGATGAGCCCTTTGGAACCCTCGATAACTCCGGCACCATCAGCCAGACCGACGACCCTGTCAAGCTGGGCGAAGCCCTCGGCGTGGCCCCTGAAGACGCCTACAACATATACCTCAACGACGCCTCCAGCTGCAGTGACGCAGGCAGTGACGGGCCCGACAACGCGACAACCGCTGACTGCAGCGATACGGTCGAGAATGGGGCTGTAGACCTCTCTCCTGAAGTCGTTGCTGCTTCCACGAGCACACCGCCCGTGTCTCAGCCTACCAGCACACCGCCCGCGTCTCAGCCTACTAGCACACCGGTCCCGCCGACTTCAACTGCAACTATGGCGAGAGTGGGTGCTCGGCGGACAGCATGCCATGTTGTGCTAATGGGAGTTGTCAGTGCCATTGTGGGGAGAGTGGGTGTGCGGCCGAGGATCCGAGTTGTTGTGCCAATGGCTCGTGTGCACCGCTGCCTACCTGAAGAAGTGGGTGCGGGTTTATGTATTTATAGGCAAAGACGAACATACGCTTGCTTGAGTTACCTGTTTTGTTATATGATATCAAAGTGAAGAGCAGCTTATCCCTTAACCCGTCGGGGTGCAACGCTCGGGCCAGTTTTCAGGCCCGTGCAGCAACACCGTGCT